CCGGGCCTGCCTGCTGAGTCGAGGGGGGAGGGGGGTGGCTGGGGGAGGGGAGGCGCCTGGAGATTGTGCTGACACCGGCAGAAAACTCGCTTCAAAATTTTATCAGCTCAGCATGGAGGAGGTGGGGGCGGGGACAGGCTTAGAGGATGGAAGTGGTGGGAGAGGCCTGGACCGGCATGGCAATGCGTCTGCCACCGAGGCCACCCCTGCCCCCTGCCCGGGACAGCCAGTCACTTTGTCCACCCCTCTGCCTCCGCGGGCCCTAAGGCAGCTCCACTCCAAGCCCCCAGTGGGTCTGCAGCTGATGGGTGGGGGCGGGGGAGGGGGCAGAAAAGGTCAAGGTCAACGAATCAAGGTCCAGACTGGGAAACCGCCCCCACACCCTGGAGACGGGAGTCCTATAACCTCATCAAATCCTTATCCCATCACTGGGAGAAGTGCTGCTGTTACCCCCACTCACAGAGGGAACAGAACAGTGATGTGTCCCAAGTCACCCAGCCGGCAGGGGGCAAGACTCCCACTGTCCCCGCAAGACCCCACCCCCAACCCCCTGCCCCCAGCCTTCCTTCCTTCAGTCTGTCTCTGATAGTGTGCTCCGTGGGATCTGCCAGGGCTGGGCTTACAACCTGGGGGCACCCACCTGACACGCTCAGGCCGCCCCCGGGTGTGTACCCACGCGGGTACCAGACTCAGCCCCGGTGGGGGGGGGTGCTGGTGGGCACGGGCCACATGACCATCAGGTTCTGCGAGCACACCTGACTCCGTCCACATGAAGACAATCCCAGCTGACCCCTGCCACGTGGCAGGCCAGCGTTCACATGCCACATGCAGGATCCCGCGACTCCCCTGGGGCCTCATCCAGCTGGGAACTCTGATAATCTCCATTTGACAGATGGGGGAAACTGAGGCTCAAGGTGGCCACACAGCCAGGAAGCAGCAGGGGCAACAGATCCCGCCGCCCTCCCAGCCAGGCCCGGGCCCTGGGCCTCCAGCCCTGCTGGCACCTAGACCACCCCTCTGGCCTCTATGTCTTGGTCAGGCTGCCAACCCTCTGGGACACCCCACACTCAGCACTGTCCAGCCACCCCGCAGAGCTCAGCTCTGCCGCACCACTTCCTCCAGGAAGCTGCCCTGGGTTTCCCCACCCTCACAGGTGCTGCTGGCCTCCAGGTGGGGTGCCGACCCTGGATCCAGCACACACCCAGCTAGAACGGCCAGAGCGGGGAACACAGGGGACCAGAGAGGGTGGTAACCCAGCCAAAGTCACACAGCACCCATCTTCCCCCTCTGCACGAAGCTGGGACCCGCCAGACCTCCGCTGAAGGTCTGAGAGTTGATCCACTAGCATTCACAGCGCCCAAGGCCAGCCCTCTCTCAGACGGTCTCTCCCAGTGGTCACCGGCGTGTCCTCACCTCTATTCCCAACAAGGCCTTAAGTTGCCCCTCGGACCTCCTGGGCCAGGATCTCACCTCCTGAGATCTCAAGAGCCCGCCTCTTACCTTCAACCCCCTGGGGGCTGAAGACCGCCTCCCCACTCAGACTCTCCTCGAACCGTATCTCTTGCCCTCAGACCTCACAGCACAGGTGCTGGTCCTACCCTAACGCAGGCCAACAGGCCCCCTCGGCCCCGCCCACCGCACCTGCCTCCCCTCCCAGTCCAGCCTGAACCACCTCCCCAGCCGGACGCACGTGAGGGGGCCGCTATGCCCCCCCCCCCCCCCCCCCCCCCCCCCCCCCCCCCCCCCGCCCCCCAGACCGTGGGCGCCCGCGCGCGCCCGCCTCACCTCGCTCGCGCACGAAGTAGGCCAGGTAGAGGTCGAGCTCCTTGACGGCCACGCCGATGTGGTGCGGCTGCACGCAGAGCACCGGGTGGCCGCACTGCGCCGCCTTGACCAGGCGCTCGCCGTCGGTGCTCTCCAGCGGGATGCCCTTGAAGAGGATGACCATGACCAGGTCCAGCCGCCACACCTTGTCGGCCTGGCGCAGGCAGTCGATGCGGCGCATCTTGCCCTTCTGGTCGGGGTTGGAGAGCACGCAGCCCGGCGCCTTCTTGCCGGTGATGGCCAGCACGAAGTCCTCGCGGCACTCGGGCCGGATGTCCTTGCGCAGCTTGGCCAGCAGCCGGGACGCCCACTTCTGCTTCACCTCGGCCTTCTCGCCCAGCAGCTCGTCCTTCACCGCGCGCTCCTCGTCCTTGGACATGCGCTTCTCGTGCTTCTTGAAGTACTTGCGCTTCCGCGCCTGCAGGTTGAACCAGGTGTAGGCGAAGGCGCGGACGTGCGGCAGCAGCGCCTCGATGAACGGGTGGAACTCATCCTGCAGGCACGAGAGGCCAGAGGTCAGGAGGCGCTGGGGACCGTGGACCCACCGCCCAGCCCGGGAGACTGAGGCCTGGAGGAAGTCCCAGGAAGACACCACCCCTCCCCCAGGGAGGGCCAGGCGCCTGTGGGCAGGGGGCCACTGCAGACCCGGTCACCTCTGGGGGAAACTCGAGGCCGGAGGGGACCCAGCAGAAGTGCATGGGGGGACAGGTGCGAACCCCTTGCCCAAATGGGGAGACCAGGGCTTGGACTGTGTGGGAGGCGCAGGCCAAGCAGAAGTTCATGGAGGGCTGTCTTGAACCCCAGTATACAGACAGGTCAAGCTGAGGGTCCCCAGACGCTTGATGGGGGCTAGCCCATTGTACAGACGGGGGAAAGTAAGGTCAGGAGAATGGGGGATGTTATGGAGCTATTCGCTGTCTACTAGGATGGGGGCAGGGGCAGCAAATCCCAGTCTGAGAGCACCTTAAAGAACAACAGTATTTCATTCTGTTGCAACTATTCAGCTCAGCGCAGAATTAGCCCTAGATAGGACACACAGATGATGGGTGAGGCTGCGTTCCGATAAAACTTTATTTACAAAAACAGGTGGCAGACACTGGGCCCCAGGCCTGCAGTTTGCAAGCTCGTGCACTAAAGTATGAGCTCCAGGGGCGCCTGGGGGGCTCAGTCGTTGAGCGTCCGCTTTCAGCTCAGGTCACGATCCCCTGGACCCCCAGGTCCAGGGCATCAAGCCCACATCCTGCCTCCGCCCCTCCCCCTGCTTGTGCACATGCGTGCACTCTCTCTCTGACAAATAAATAAAATAAAAATAAAGTATGAGCTCCAATGTCGAGAGCTGGGCCAAGCACACAGCAGGTGCTGGATGGCAGGAGAAATAAGGCTCAGAGAGTGTCCCCAACACCAAAGAAAGCTGACACTGGGGGTGGGGAGCGGTCTGAGGGCTGCCTCTGTGGGCCCTAGGCACAAAGAAAACAAAAATGAGGTCTGGGGGTCATTTCTATAGACCAGCCGTGCAGAAAGGCCCCCTATGAGAGCAACATGGGGCCGTGGAGACCCCTGTCCCCTCCTGTGGGGGTGGGAGGGCTGTCTCACTCTCCGTTTTTCATCCAGAGGAACTGAGTCTGCAGAACGTCTGGGACCTGGTTTCTCAGCCTCCAGGAAAAGGGAGGACAAAGAGAACCTGGGGCTCGTGCGGGCTTCCAGAACGGGAGCGCTGCGGTCTCTTCCTGGGAGATGAGCCCTGTCCTTGCCCAGCTCTGGAAAGCCTGCACTAGACTCTTGGTACTATCCCTGACATTGTTACAATTGTTCCAGTCGCTTACAATCTGCCGGAGCAGGGAAGGGTCGGGGCTCCGCTCCCCATTGCGTGATGGTATCCAAGGCCCAGAGAGGGGCGGAGACCCAACCTGGGGGTCCCACGGGGTCTCCGGGCCTGTGTGAGGACCGGAGCCCAGGCCCCCGGGCACCGTGAAGATCATCGGCCGCTCTCCCAGAACAGCCTGGGGTCTCGGGGAGATGCTCGGCCTTCTGGTTGGATGTGGCTGGGGTTGGTCCCACCTCCAGGCTGGACACTCACAGGAACCCCCACCCAGTGCCCTCTCCGGGCTCTGTGCACCTCTGGCCATGGGGTACCGGGGGAGGGGGGAGGGGAATGACCTCAGATTTCACCTATTACTGAGGCTCTGAAAATAGCCTCCTGCCCTGAGTGGGATGGGGGGTGGGATGGGGCTCAGGATAGCCAGCCCTGCTCCCCACTCTAATGTCCCCCAAGTGTGAGTCACCATAACAGCTGTGGCGGGGGACTGGACCTCAGGGCTCTCTTCCTCTGTCCACTCCCCCACCCTGGCCGGTCTGCCGAGGCCAAGGGAGAATGGAGGGGCCTATCTTAGGCTGGTCCGTGTCCAACCTCCACAGGGCCTTCCGGTGCCTGAATGCCACCTGGCCTGCCGGCCCCAGAGACAGGGAGGCACTCGCCCAGGGTCACAGAGCTGGGCAGCAGAGCTGGGACCAGAGCCCGGGCTGCCTGGCTGGAGGGGCTCGGGGTGGGGAAATGAGAGAGGCCCAGGTCGCTGCTCCTGATGGCGGGGATGCCAGGGCAGCCAGAGGCCAAGCAGTGGTGTTGACTCTGGGCCACGGCTGCCGCCCAAGGTCTGGTGCTTTACTGGGACAGTGATAAGAGGTGGCTGGGAAGGGGCAGCTGGACGGTCAGCCAGGTCCCCAGCCTCCTCTGCTTGAACCGTTTTCTCTCTGAACCCTGCCCCTTCTCTGGGCCCTACCCCTCTGGGTCCACTCTCAGCAAAGGTGCCAGGGAGGCGGGCAGGGGCGGGAGCCCACGTCACCAGTGACCCCAGCTGGTCCCGGAGGAAGGAAGACAAACAGTCTGTAACTGGGTCAGGGACCTGCTGCCCTCTCCTCCCTCATTCTCCCTGGGAGGTCAGCCCAGGTGAGAGGCAGGTCTGTCACTCTTTGTCCCACAAGACCTGCCAAGGCCAAGGCATTTTCTTCAGGCACCTCCCAATGCCCTCATTGGCTGACCAGGCAAAGGAGACAGTCAAGGCAAGCCAGCTGCCGAGAATCCTCCCGAACTCCTACGCATCCCTCAAAGCCCTGTCTCCAGTGTTCCTTCTCCTTCAGGCAGTCTTTCCTACTCCCCTCAGGGATTCCCCCAGACCTAGCCTGGACCATACAAGCTGGGGTTCTGAGTCAGGCTCTACTGCCACCCATTCCCACCCTCCGAACCTGAGGCCCAGGGCTAAAGCACTCGTGCCTGACCCCGGAGCAAATCACTGCTCTGCTTTGGGCCTCAGTTTCTCAGTCTGTACAACGGGCAGAATGAGATACGGCAGCTGCAGGGTGTTGAGGTTTTTTTCCGGTTTCTGGCAACCAGAGAGGCAATGTTGGGGGGAGGGGGAGCAAGGCCAGGCCTTTCCCCAAAACACTACTTGGCTCCCTGGGACTTCCTGGCCAAAAAGGGCAGCAGCAGCTAGGTGGTGGACACCTGGGTCCGAGCCCTTGCTGGATGGGCTGGGTCATGAAGCTCCTATTCACAAACCACAAGTTTTCCCGGAAGGATTCTGTCTCCCTCATTTGTTCAGTGACTCACCAAACGATACTGAGAACTATCTTAGCCCCTCCTAAAGTCGTATCCCAAACTCCTAAGCATCCTTCAGAGCCCCGGTTCCAACGTCTTTTCCACTAGGTTCAGGGCAGATGAAGTGGCAAATAGCAGAGCTCATATTCAAACCCAGGTCCATCTGGCACCAGAGCCGGTGTCCCTAACCTCAGGCGATTCCTCCCCTCCAGCTCAGGGCATCACAGTGTAGGCACGACACCCACCTAACGAGGGCGAGATGCGTGTGATTGTTCAACATTTACTGAGTGTGCCTGCTGTGCCGGCTTCATGCATGGTGCTGTGGACCCAGCAGTGACCCCGGCTCAGTCCTCACCTGGATCCTGATCTGGGGCAGGGAAGGATGTGAGACAAGCAGACAGATCCGTAATAAAACGTCACTTGGAACAAAGCACCTTGAAGAAACCTAAAGGCATTTGGGGAGGGTGAGGGAATGCCTTGGGGTTGTTTTTTTAGCTGGCAGTGCTCCATGAGGGTCTTTCATAAGAGATGACACTTGAACAAAGACCTAAAAAATGACGGGCCAGGGTAGGAGCTTTCCAGATAGTGAAAACAGCATGTACCAAGGCCCTGAGGCAACACTGTGCCCATGTTTTGCAAGAATGGTGAAGACAGTGGTGTGCTGAAACAGAGTGAACAAGAAGGAGAGCGGAGGGGGTGAGGGCGGGGAGGTGCCGGGGGCTGGATGTGAAGGGTCTTGTGGGCCCCAGAAAGGAATCTGCATACATGGAGTGGTGGGAGTGAAAACGTCCCACCAAACTGACCAGGGAGTCTGAACCTTGGATCTCCTGCCTTTCCTCTCGGTGCCTTCATGTCCCAGGAGGATGACGGGGGTTGACCCAGAGGGCCAGGGAGAGAGAGACAGGGTGTGGGGTCATACCTTTCAGAGGCTGAGCATTTACTGAGCTATCAACTCTGCAAAATAGGGACTAGCCTTGCATCTACTTTCTGGAGGGAGAAATGGAGGCCCTGAGCACTGAAACCACCCACCCAAAGTCACGCGGCCAGGAAGGAGCCAAGCTGGGGCTTGAACCCACGTCCCCAGGACTGTGGACCTCTGGACTCCTCAGCCCCCCTCCTGAGCCCTTCAAGCACGTGGTCTGGCCCCATCACTGGGACTCCCCAGAGATATGCGTCTCCGAATCCCGTGTGACTCCCTTCCCCTGCTCAGTTCCATGTCATGGGCCATCTCCTCCTTAGCCAAAGCGGCAGCCTGGCCGGGCCTCTGGACTGCGGCCCCTCCAGGACAGGGATTTGGTCATTCCGGTTCATTGCTGTGCCCTAGCACCCAGTCTGGATCCCTGGGGGAGCAATCCCATCCTGTCTAAGTGACATCTCCAAGCACCCCACACGACAGAGGATGCTGCCACCCCCCACCCACTGGTTTGGTTACACTCAGGAAGACCCTGGACAAGACTGGGCAGGGGCAGGGGCCATGAGCCCCAAGCAAAAGCCCTCCGGGCTCACGGCTGTTCCTGTCACCTAGCCCAGACAGTGACCGAATAAAGAGGAGGGTATGTTGGAAATGCCTCCAGGACGTTTCATCCAATCATTAGCTGAGCGACCGCCATAATCATAGCCACGTTTATTTGGCACCCACTGTATACCAGGCACCATGCCGAGGGTGAAGCCTTGGAGGAAGGCGTGATTGTCCTCCCCAGGTCACGTGGGCAGAGACTGAGGCTCTGAGGAGGTCCTTCTCTCGGCTGGCAGAACCGTCCATTCACTCCTTCCTCCCACAGATTAGTAAGCACCTACTATGTGCCAGGCCCTGCACTGAGCACCTCACAGGGGTCCTGCCTCCCCAAACCGTCCGGCGGGGCAGGCAACTGAAGATTACAGTTGGTTTCATTTCACAGTGAGGACGAGGGGGGCCCTGCCCCGCACCTTGCAGCTGGAAAGCCAAGAACTCAGTTCCTGAGCCCCCTGAGCAAGGCCCATGTGCGTATCCGAGACACCCTCAGTCTCTGCCTTGGTGCCCCCCGTCAGGACCCATCGGAGGCAGGGCAGGTCCATGGGTCAGTAAGCACGTGTGTGCACGTGCGTGGGTGTGGTTCAGTCCCAGGGGGGCCCTGCACGGGGGCACTAGTGGTCCACCGAGGGGAGCAGGGAGCACATGCGTGTGCGGGTTGCCGGGAACACGTGCCTTTGCGTGTGAGGGCCGTGCGGGGCAGAAGGACCCAGGATGCAGTGAGTGTTTCCCATCCGTTTGGTGTGAGAACAGGGAGGGAGAACGGTTCAGGCTGGGGGTGGGGTAGGGACAGAGAGGGAGGAGGAGAGAAAGGAGGGGCGGGGGGAAGAGAGACAGAGACAGAGGGAGTGAGAGAAGGAGAGGAGGAGGGAGGGAGACAGTGAGAGAGAGAGAGAGAGAGAGAGAGAGAGAACGCTGACTCGGCCAGAATCCCCGCTTCGTGATTTACAAGGCGCCTGGCCCTGGCTCACCGAGGCACCTCCGCAGAGCAGGGAGGAGGGAGAGACCCAGACACAGGGACGGAGAGAGGGAGCGCGACCTGGAGCGAGGCTGTGCTTTCTGCAGGAGCCAAGCAGAGACCACCAGACCAGGGTGGGTGGTGTTCACCGGGAGCGCCCACCTGTCCAGGCTGGCCTCAAAAGCCAAGTGGGAAGTGGTCCCAAACCCAGCGTTGCCAGCCATAGTGCTGTGCCACCCTGGGCAGGCCCTGGCTGTCTCTGGTCTTGGTTCCTCTCCTAGCCCCAAGATGCTGGGGGACCCCCATCCCCCAAAGCTCAGGCCAGGCCTAGGCTCCACAGAGGCACTTAAAAAAAAAAAACCTACTAAACCTACCAAAAGTCAGGGCTGCCCTCCCTGCCTCGGTCTCCCCGCTGGAGAAAGGGCTGTGAAAGGGGTACCACGCTGAGAGGGATCCCAGGGCAGAAATGAAGGGAGGAATGAATGAATGAGGGAGGGGCCCTGGCGGGCTGGTGTGGCTGGCCTCGGACGGGGAATCCTGGGCACTGCAGCCAAGAGGGATTTGGCCCCAAACCCGGAATAACTAACGTGGCGGTGCGGCGGGCGGGCGGGGGGGAGGCAGGGAGGGAGGCCCGGAGCAGGGCCAGCGCGGGGAGGCCGGCCTTCCCGCCGCCAGGATTTATGGAAGTAACGGCTGCTCCACACAGTTCCTCTTAAGAGTAAAAGTGAAAAAGCTCTTGAGTCACCACTGAAACAGGGACGGGGCTCCCAGAATCCTCCAGGGCTGCCGCCACCACCAACCCCCCTTCGGTGGGCAGGGCTGGGGGCACGGGGCACGGGCACCGGGGCACCGCTCCCCCCTGCCGCTCTCCAGCGGCTCCCTCCAACAAGGATCCCGGTCGGATCAGCTAAAAGGGAGCTATTTTTGGACGGGCTCAGGTTGTAAAATTAGTCGGGCAAAGGGGGGAGACGGAGGCCCAGAGATGGGGAGACACGCGGGAGAGATGGAATGGGGGAGAGAGACGCAGAGACAGACGGAGGCACGGAGAGAGACACGGAGGCAGAGACAGGGAGACACAGACCACAGAGACCGAGAGTGATGGAGGAGAAACAGAGCGACGGGCCAGGGAGATGGAGATGGTCAGAGAGACGTGGGGTGGTGGCCCAGACAGCCAGGAGTGCAGGTCCTAAGAGAGCAGTCGGGGTCCTCCCAGGGGGACCCCCAGCTGGAGACCCCAGACCAGGCTGGGTCTGCAAGGAGCTCTGTCTGGGGTGGGGGGTCCCAGGGCTCTGCTCCTGGGTGGGGGGCGCTGGAGTGGAGCAGGGGAGGGCAGCCCCCTGCATTTGGGCCACTCCGTCCCCACCCTAGCGGGGGTGGGGGGTGCTCTCGGACTGTCTCTGCCTATCTCTGTCCCCATCACTGGCCCAGGACAACCTCAGGTAGCGTTCACGGTCCTGTCCAACAGGAGCCCGCCCGGCTGGTCCTGGGGATCAGCCTGCTCCTGGGGAGAGCCGAGCCCGACCCCATGAGCACACAGGCTCACACCGGGGCTCAGGTTCTCTCTGCCATAGCCTCACGGCGGCGGCGGCAGCGTGGATGGAGGTCTGTCTCCCCAGGAGTCCTGATGGGGGAATTCCAGGGCTCAGTGACAAAAGGCGGCCTTCCAACCTCCTCCCCTGGAATAGCCTCCCTGGCTCAGCCCCCCTGTGTGGCTCTCGGGAGCTGGCAAGCCCAGGAAGGGCAGAGGGGGCAGGGGCACCCACAGCCACCAGGCTGCCCCGCAAGCCGAGACTGGGAGGCCCAAGGTCACACGGCAACCCTCCCTAGAACCCTACTTGCCTGCAGGGAGCCTCAGGATAGCTGGGAGGCAGAGTTGGGGCAGCAAGGACAGCTTCCGGGGCCCCCCAAAGTTGTTCAGAAGGGGAAACTGAGGCCTGGACAGGGGCATGGACTTGTCCAAGGTCACTCAGGGGATCATGGGTAAGACAAGCCCTGAGACCCCCCCCTCCGCACCCTCCCTCTCCTTTTCTGGCGGGAGCCAGGAACTCCCCAGTGCGGCAAGAAAAGCTGTAGCCCGAAGGAGGGGGCCCCCAAGCCCTGAATAGCGGACCCTTTCCCACACAGACCGGCAGTCCCTGGGGCCCAAGCTAGGCATCCACGTGCTCCCCATAAGGGAGAGAGGAGGAAGACGGGACAGGCAGCCTCCGGATGGACTCCCACCTCCCAGAGTCCTGCACTTGGCAATCTGGAGGCCGCACTGCCCCGTCTCCAGAACCTGCCTTATTCCTCAGGAGAAACTGAGGCCGCAACCCCATCGGCCTGAAGACACATGAGGATATGGGGGAGCTGGAAGGAGACCAGCCCGGGGGGGGTGGGTGTCCCAGAGGGAGCTGGAGGAGGAAAGGAGTCCCCCGGGGGTGCGGCCTGGGACAGGGGCAGCCGCCCCCTCCCCACACACCCCCTTCGCCGTTGCACAAGGGCTCAGCCCGGGGCAGTCTGGGAGCCCCGCCAGGGGTGAGAGGCTACGGGAGGGGGGCAGGGGCAGGTGCCGGGTGCCGGGCTGGCGAGGGCGTCCGCAGCGCCGCAGTGCCGGGACCAGACCCCGGAACGCCCGGCCTCCCGGCTCCTCCCGGCGGCGGCGGCGGCCGCTCAACAATCCAGAATCGATGCGGCGAAAATATCGGATGGGGGGGGGGCGGGGGGCGCGGGAGGCCGAGCCGGGATGTCAGCGCGCCCCACCCCCGCTGCTGGCGCCTTCAACTCCGCGCGCCCCCTCCCCCCCCAGCACACGTGGGCCAGTAATGGGGGGAAAGGCGTCCCGGGGCTGGGGTGGCGGGGCACAACCTTGGCGGGGGGCGGGGGGGGCGCTGTCTGGGGAGTACATCCGAGGTATCCTCTCCTCAAGAGGGCCGAGGGGCCGGGTCGGGACCCCTCGATTCCTCCTAGGGGCAGGCCGGGTCCGGGCGGGGGTCACGCAGAGGCCCGGCTCCGGCCCTGGGGTGGGGGAGAGCGCCCCCAGACCTTCCCGGGTGGGGTGGGGGCTAGCGTCCCGCCAGCCCGCTCCCCGAGTCCCGCGTCCGCGTGGGGAAGAGGCCGGGGCGCCCGGGGCGGGGCGGGAGTCCCGAGGGTGGGTCGGGGCAGGGGTCCCCGGCCCAGCCCATCCCCCACCGGCCCCTGGCCCGCGGCGGGGGCACCCCTGGCGGGGCGGCGGGAGGGACGCGCGCCTTTCCCGTCCCGCCTCCTCCGGCTTCGCGACTCCGGGGCCGGGCGGCGGGGGACGCGGGGGGCGCGGGCCGGGCGAGGGGCGTACCTGGGTCAGGCAGAGCGGGGACGAATACATCCCGGGCGCGGCGGGAGGCGCAGGGCCGGCCGGAGCGGGCGCGCTGAACTTACTGAGTCATTTTTCCAAACCCCCCCCCCCCGCGGCCGCGGCCGGCGCGCTCCTCGCCGCCTCCTCCCTCGGTCTCCCTCCTCCCTCCCTCCCGCGCTCGCTCTCTCTCCCTCTCTCTTCCTTTCCTGTCCCCCCTCCCTCTCTCCTCCTCCGTCTCTGTCTCTCCGTGTCTCTGTCTCTCCTCCCTCTGGCAGCCTCCCCCCTTCCTCCCCCCAATTTCCCTCCCCTCCCAGCCGAGCCTCCCACTTCTCAACATCCAACTTTCAAAGAAACGAGGGAAAAAAGAGCGCGAGCGGGGAAGGAAAGCCGCTCCCCCCCCATGCCCCATGAACCCCCATCATAGCTATTATTACGAATTACGAACCGCCCCGGTCCCGGGCACCGGACGGGGACCAACCGGCGGCGCAGAGCCCGGTAGCCGCGGGTCTCCCAGGACCGCCCACCCGAGTCAAGTGGGGAGGGGGTGCTGGGCTGGTGCTGGACACTTTGGGGCCGGAGGTGGATTTTTTAAGACCCCCCCAAACCTCCCCGCGCTGGCCGGGAAGTTGGAGAAAAGAGCCAAGTTGGGGGGGGGAGGGAAAGAATGAAGAAGTGACGTGTGCAGAGGCCCAGCGCCAGCCCGCGTCTTTCCCCTTAAAGATGTACGACCCGGGGTGCAGGGCAGGAGAGGGGGGGCCCCACAGCATCCTCTCCCTCTGCTCCCCTTAGAGCCAGACACGGGCTGCAGTTCCCTGGGCACGGAGCTTGGCTCTAAGTGCACTCCTCCCCCACCCCACCGGCCCCAAAGGTCCCAACTAACCCCAGAGCCTCCAGGAATCTGCTCTCACCTTTTCAGTTAGCACCAAACGGGAACTGGGTGTGTGTGGTAGGGGGTGTTCTAGCATCCCCCATGAGTCTCCCCAACATCCCAGGAGGGTAGGTCCAGAACCTCAGGCTGGCCACGTAAACCCTCGCAGCCTCTTCCCTGGACGACCAGTAATTCCTGTGGAGACTAGGAGCGTGCCCATCTCACGGATCTGCAAACTGAGGCACCAGGAGTGGCTTGGAGCCCCAGAACCCACCTTCCTAAAGCTCCATTGTTCTTCCTCTAGAGTAACTGGGCGCAGACCTGACCTCCCCTAGTCTAAGTCCCCAGGGTTCCTGATGACCACGACCTCAAGCCTTCCCCATTCACCCCTGAATCCTCAGCCTCCACTGCCACAGCTCCCATTCCCACCCCACAGACTGCCCCTTGGTATTGTCCCCGGTAACGTGCACTAACAGTGCCCGCCCATGGGGTCCATGGGCATAAGGGTAATGACGCTTAGCAGAGCCTTGACCTTCTGTCAAATGCGCAGCAAGACATTCTTAGAAAGCCTGGTGATTTTCATGATACCCTCCTGCCAACATGGGGCAGCTGCCCCATGCCCAGGGTAATGGGAGGGGCCAGGAATCCCATTAATTTCCCCTGTTCCGGGGAGGAAATAGGCTCAGGGTCCCAGGGCTAGACTAGGAGGGAGCAGGGTTCCTACAGAAGGCGGAAGGTGTATATCCTGGGCCACTCCGACTCCCCATTGCATTATTATTCAAACAAACTGTTAGAATTCAAACAAACAGTGCTTAGCATATCATGAGCGCTTCGCAAAGGTTTGAAAACCCCTTGCTTGCTGTCAGGCGGGTGGGGGGGGGGTGCATTTGAAACCCCGGGATGAATGGGGAAGGCAGGTGTCTAGGAATCCAAATGCCAACATAACATACAACGGGATTTTATTATTTGAAAGTGGCTAGGAACACAGAGAGCACAAGATTCCAAATTCACAGACATTTAAAAGTTACACTTGACTGCAGACGGTTCTCCCAGCTCGGCCCCCTCATTCCCGCCCAGCCTGCCACCTGAGCTCCTTTCCAAGGTGAGGTCCGGAGAGCACAGACTGCCCGTCTGTCTCGGAGCCTCAGTCTCCGAATCTGTAAAATGGCAACAGTGCTAGGACGCATGGAGGAGGGTTGGAGATGGGAACCCTGAGGTTACTCGTGTGAACGCTGTGGGCACAGTGCAGAGAGGAGAACCTTCTGCAAATTCCCGAACACCGGTGGACTGTTACAAATCTGCATATTCCATAGTTCGGGTGGGAGGGGCCCTGCAGTGCACACAGTAGGTCCACAGCTGCCAGCCAGCTCGAGCACAGGCTTGCAGCCTGGTCTACGTCTCCTCCAGCGGCAGCTACACTCCTGTGTGCCTCAGTTTCCCCTCGGTGAAAAAGGGTGAAGAGAGTTCCCACCCCTTGGGTTATTATGGGTGACCCAGAGGAGACTGGGCTGAGGTCAGAAGAGGGCTTTGCACCGGGCAGTTACCTTAACAAAGCAACTGGTGAATGTGGACCTTGTTTGTGCGAGGGTCCAGAAGGGGAGTGGGCCATGTGATTTAGCAGTGGCACTTGGGAGCACAGTTGAGCTCATTGGTTAAAAAATTAAAAATGCACTCTCCTTAATCATTCATTCTGCCTTTCCTCTAACTGTCCGTGACCCAGACACACAAGTGTGTCGACTACCACTCTCTACCACTACTGGTCACAGCCTGGGAACTAGCCAGGGCGTCCCTCTGCAGGGGGCCAGGTCAGTAACGCCAGTGCGGGAACAGGCCGGACTATTACGCAGCTCCATAAAAGAATAAGAGGTTCCCATCTGCAGATGTCACAGGGGGAAACAAGCCGGAGACCAGGGCTTCTCCCCCAAGGGTGCTCTGGACCATTCTCTGCCCAGGGATCCTGGACTCTGTGGGGGAGGGGTGCTGAGCCCTATCCCTGCCTGGAGCACCCCCAGTCCTGACCACCAGCGACGTCCCCAGACATGGCCCAGTGTCTCCCTGGGGTCCCACACAGGTAGGGGTGAGGAAGTGGGTTGGCTTCCACTGGGGGTAGTTTGGTGTATACTCTTCAGACGTTCACGAATGGTTTGTGTCATTAAAAACAAACTTTTTTAAAAAAGTGCATGGCATTCACAGAGCAGCTGAGGCGGGGAAGGCCACCTCCTAGGTGTCCACCTAGGAACTCGAGGGTGACCACCTCCCCGGGGCACAGAGGGCACAGCGCCATGCCAGGCCTTGGGAACGTACGCTTGGGACAGCATCACCACGCCCCTGTGTGTTCCCATTCTACGGAGGAGACACTGAGGTTCTAGAAGGGGATGTGAAGGTCTTTGGTCTTGCTAAGGAAAGGGAGGATGGGACCCAAGGTTGGCAGAGACGCACACAGCACATACAACGTGCCACGAAGAGACATTCAGGCATACACACCGTGCCACACAGATACCCATGTCACACACCTAGCGACACAAACACATAGGGATTCCCCTGAGCACAGGCCCACCCACAAACATGGACTTCCGCACACCTGGCCTCGGGCATCACAACAGAGGGCACCCAGGGACTCACAGACTCACACAAAGCACACGCATACACACAGATATGGACACACACAGGAGATGCACAGACCCACTCAAGTGTACACACAAACATGGCCACAACACACAGACACTCCTTCACAATCACACACTCGACCCAAACACAACCATACACACTCACGATCACACACGCCCACAAGCAGAACCCCTCCCAGTATCCCTATGCAGGTGCACGGGCAGAGGGGGCACATACCCGTGAAATAACCACAGCCCTTCCCCCTCCCAAACAACCCCCCCCCCCAGCCAGCTCAGAGCTCTCCAGGTCTGGCTGGGGGGGCGGGGGGGCTTGTCTCTCCAGCCTCCCAAGTGCAGGTGCCTGGCCACAGCCATGTCTGCGGGCGGCTGCCTGTGGCTGTGTGTGTGGACCTCTGTGTGCGGTGGAGTTACCTACACCTGTGTCGTGGGTGTGTGCTTGTGAATGTTCCTGCTCCCGGTGTGTGCCACCGCGCTGGACGGCAAGGGGAGGGGCTTGCTGCAGCGGGGGGGGGG